TTGCGCTGCTGCAATTTTAGCAGACACCTTCTCCCTCCGCTGCTCCAGCGTGATTTTTTGGCATCGCACATGCTCCGTACCATCAGAGGCCTTCATGGTGTCGCCATCCCGCTCATAGGTGATCTCTTTCTTTTCGGCCTTCTCGCCATTTGGATCGTCACGGATTTTCTCATGCGCCTCGGTATACATGTCTTCCATCTTGTCAGGCTCAATCCCAGCCTCAATGTACTTGGAGAAGTGTGCTTCATACTTCGTCGGGTCTTCCTCTTGCAGCATCTCCATGTACTCCTTTACCTTAATGATGTTTGGTCAAGCAACTGAAGCCCAACCTGTGGATGTGCATGTATGTATGTATGTATGTATATTTGTATTTTCCTTTTTAAAGGGGATCTTTTCCGTCTGCTCTGCTCCAGCAGCCCCTTGTGGGCCGGTGTGCACAGTGGCATCCACCTCCGAGGCCAGAACCTAGTGCGCGTGGTTGCGGTCTCTGGTGCACCTCATCGTCAGCCGCAGTCCCTTCAATGGCTTGTGTAGTGGAAGGCGTCGAGAAGTAGATGCGGAGACCAGGGCTGCTCTTCACAGGTGCGCCCCGACATTCCTTCTTGAGGCTTTGTGTCACCACCAGCCGGTTGTTTTTGTCCGTTGCCACGGCAATGCCACAGTACTTGCGCGAGAATTTGTCACCAAGCTGCCAGAACATATGGGTGTGATGCTGTGATGCCCAGCAGGAAGTCCGTTGTAGGCGTGGTCTATGCAGGGTCCAGTATTAAACTCTCATTGGCCGTTTTGAGGGTGGCCTGTCCACAGTGTATGCACTTCAGGTACCCGGTGGTCTTGGTGAACCTGTGTTGCCCAGGTTGGTGAGGAAGCTCCTCTCGTTGCTAAAGGAGTGTCTGAATGCGCTGTGCCCTGGTGGGTTTCTTCGGAACCACGTGGGTGAGCCTGTCAGGTGGTGTGGTTTGCGTCGCTTCTTGTTGGAAGTGCTGGCAGGTTTCTCCCAAACGCTCTTCAAGCAAATGGGCAGTCAGGAGGCGCTGGTGAACACGCGCGCGGCAGCGCTCGCATTGGAAACCACTGCGGCGCTTGGTCCATCCACGACGGCCTTCCTGATGATCTCGAAGGCACTTTTGCAGCAGCCGCTTCTTGTACTGCTTGGTGTTTGCGGCTAGGTTTGTCGTGGGCAAAGTGGTGGGGATCCGTGTAGGGGCGCAGACGCGCTTGATGGTTGGATGTAAATCTGCTGGCGGTCCTGATCAAAGGTCTGTTGCCATTGGTCCTTGTCCTTGTCGTGTATCTCAGTGGCCCTCTCCGTGATGCCAGTGTCACGCATGCGCTGGAGGTGGGGTTTAGTCAGCGCCGCTGGATCAGGGCTTTGGTCAGCAATGTCATCTCATGGAATTCGATTGGTTCACTTCTTCATTGGAGATGATGACGATGATGAGCCATGGAAAGAAAGAGAAAGCCTGCCCGAGGAGAACTTTCAGGAGGTTGAGAATGAGAAGTCCAAGGTGAGAAGACTTGGAGAAGAGAGAGAATAGCCGATGTCATCGACCTGTCCATTGAGTTTCAATTGCCGGTACGTGGTTGAGACGGGCATCAAGGCAGTAAGACACACAGCTGCAACTTCACCTTGGACGTGGAAGAATTCAGAGAGCTCTTCTTCCGCCGGCCCGTATACCAAGCCAGAGTGGAAGGGGCGGATACTGCAGTTTGCGCGCCTCACAGGCCAGGACTTGCAGATCTATTACGTCGTAGAAGGTGCTCAGTCCATCAACACACGCCATGCTGGTGAGTGTCCGGGCTTTGTCATAGCTCAATGATGGGGAGCTCCTTTCAAAAGTCTGCACCAGAGCCTGTAAATGGTGGATGTCAGGTTTGGGTCTCTCGCATCGTTCATTTTTGGGACGCGTCGCAATGAGGCTCTGAAGCAGTTGCGCGTTGGAAGTTGCGCCTGGAGCTCAAGCGGTCGTAGGATTTGCCGCAGCGCTGGGAGTGCTTGCAGCGGCACCTGTCGAAGAAGCTGTGCGCCATCAAGTCCTGCAGCTCGGATAGCGTCCGTGCAAGTTGCCTCAGGGAGATCTCTGGTAGGTTGACGTGGCATTCGTTGCGGGACAGGGAGGTCACGCCACGGTCTTTGCCAATCCCTCCTTTCTGGGGCGGTGCTGGACTATGCCCTCATCCACAATCAGGTAGCAGGCTGCACCTCCATCCAAACCGAGTGGGCTGGTCCTTGGAGGCCCCATGCTTTGATTACTTTGGCATTTCGACTTGACTTCAGACCATGGAGCGCCCACGTCTCCCAGGCTGTGGGGGTCAGGCTCAATGAGAAGCTACCCAAGCGTGTCCTGCGTTGAGCAGCATTCGCTTTAGAATCACGCATGGCAACGCCAGCGCCGTGGATACTGCCTTGAGGCCACAAACAAGGACGACAGGACTGCTGAGCTCCTGCACCATACCATGAGTGAAACGGCCCTGCAGTTCAGCAGTGGATTGCGCAAGGGAGAAGCAAAAGGATTGAGGGGGCTCTTCAGAAGTCTCAAGGCTTCCGAGCTCGCTTGAGAAGTGTTCCAGTCCACCACAAAGATGAATGGTATAGCCATAGCGACATTCCTGGAGGAGACTGAGCAGTTTGGCAAGCAGCTGACTGATAGTTTGCCCAATGTGAGAGTCGAGGACACGCCAGCCGTAGCGTCGCAGAGGGTCATGCGTCATGATGCCTTCACGCGCGCCCTCGTTGGTCTCATTCTTGGTAACGGCCATACCAGAGACTTGTCTGCCTCGAATCGTGAAGTACTGGCGCACGCTGTCGTGTTGCTGCTTGTCCAAGTGGGTCTCGATGAAGACAAAGATCTCGCTGTCTCGGGCCCAGTACCACTCAACGACCTGCTTGCCAAAGCTGGTGACGTTGGTAGAGTGCAGCCGCATATTTGCTTGTGCGCGGCGCCTTTTTTTGGCGGCGTCTCACGAAGAGGTGGATCGACATCTGGGCTCTCCGGCACAGGACGCGCGCCCTGCGTGTACGAAAGGTGGAGCTTTGAATGGCCGTTGCGTGAGGTCGGGCCTTGACCATCGTCACATCAAGTCTCTTTAGACCAAGATAGTCCCGGAGAGGTGCATGGCCCCTCTGTGACGCGCACAAATGCAATGGGAACATACTCCTCAGTCCTGCGGCTGAACCCATCAAAAGAGCAAGGTACCTGTGAAAGGACCGTGAAGGTTGAGCGCTCGCTGGCGCTTGGTGATCACCCCGTCATGAAGTATTGGCGCAATCCTTCGTTGCGCCAAGTATTATAGAGCTCTTGCAGCGTGACCTCGTCGCGATAGTGGATGGGCATCTGGATGTGGTCTTTGAGGAAGCCACGAGGTTGGATCTCAGCGTACCGGAAGGTGAAGGCTCTGGACTGAGCAACCACCCACAGAGTATTAACGAAGTGGATTGCATCACCTTGAGGTCCACAAGGTCCACGCTTTCCAGACTTTCTTGGACTGCATTACGTACGCACCCCCAAGGTTGGATATTGCGCTCCTGCAAGAAAGCGTGAAGGCCCTCCATGGGGCGTTGGCGTAGCATCGTTGGCTTGGATTGCCAATCACCATGGTCAGATTCTGCATCAACAAGGGTAGGTGGAGCCACGGGTTAAATTGGACGTCAAAGGGCGCAATCAAAACATGCGCTTGGAACGCGTTGCATCTCCCCTGCAACATTTGCTTCCAAAGGAATTCCTCGGTGAGAAAAGGAAGGTGCCTCAAGTTGCAATGCCTCTGCAGCTTGCGCGGTTGTCAAAACGTCCCCAAGTTCTGAGCCAGAGTTTGCCGGCGGAGCATCTGGCAGAACTGACACGTCTGAAAGATGGTGTTCGTAGTCTTCACATGACTCGATGTCATTGTCAGGCGCAGGAACGTTCAGCCCCATGCATGTTTTGCTCACAATGAGAGGACTGCAGGTTACCCGCGCTGTGACTTCCGCTTTTTGGTCGCTTGCCTTAGCAATTCGTTGCCTCTGGCCAGCCAGTCAGATCACAGCGCGCCTAGGCGCCATTGCAATGCCGAAGAGTGTATCAGCGGCACTCGTTGCCACTGCAGAGCCTGACAGGCGCAACTACTATCTTGTCCATGCTGCTGAAGATTGCTTGTGTGACTGGAAGCCGACAGACAACGAGCTTGACATGTTGCAACGATCCCTGCACATCACTTGTGTAGAAGACTCCGCAAGGTGGATGGGTAGGCACAAAGACTGTTACTGGCACTGGCTGCAGTGCCAGCTCCCTACAGGCAAAGTCAGTCTTACTACTCTGAAGCTCACACACCCTGCTGTTGTTCCTCGCCGTGATCGAATCGCTGCCCCCATGCGTGTGGCCTCCTGGATTCGCTTTGAAACGGTGATGACAAGCGATGATTGGGAAGGAGCTATCAGCTTGGGCGCTTGGGTGGTCCGCGCAGCTGGCTTTTCTGTTCAGGTGCCAGGGAAATCGTGTGGAGAATATCCAGTTTCTGCTGAAGCTGGGTTTTCTTCACTGATAGGCTCTTCAGCTCAATGACTTTCTGCTTCAGCTTTCCTGCCATATAGTTCTGTTGGCGGTATAGGCTTGGTGGCCAGTTCTTTGACCTGAGTGGGCAAATCTTCTAAGTGCGTCATGAGGACGTCCTTCAGGACTTCTCAGGTCCAATTCCAAGGTTGTGTGTCAGCAGGGAATGATGTCCAAGTAGCGCTAAGGAGCTCGGGCGCTTTTTTGTGGAGCTTGGATTTCTTCAAAGTGCGCCAACGTGGCAGGCCTGGCGGAGGCTCCAGCAAGCTGACTTGTACGATTTGGGCCATTGGTGCCAGGGTTCTTGAAAAGGTGTGGCAAAAAGCGTGTGGCCCTTGCCTTTGCGGGCAACTTTGGAGGCCCGCGTTTGGGAACGGAAGCCCACTTCAACTTTGTCAGTCCAGATCCAATTGCTACACTGCTGGTTGGAGCATACCATGTGTAGGCATGTCCCCATTGGCCTGTCATAGCTCAGGATGAGAGGAGCCTCAAGGTCTGCAGTCGGGCAAGGAAGAAGGCAAGGATCTGAGTAGCGCAACAGTGATGTAGCCCCAATCACCGCGATGATGTCCTTGTGGTTGAGGTGCCAAGTCCTCGAGAAAGCGCTCACAATGCGGTACTCCCTCACACTATGACGGGCTAAGCAGAATCCAGTATTTGAGGTCTTCAGGGAAGTTGCAGGCGGTAGATCAAGCTATGTCGAAGCGCAGCGCCGCGTGAAGCGCACTAGGTGGCTTTCAGCGAACCGCCTTGAACAGCTTATGGCTTGAGCAGTATGTATGTATGTATGTATGTCTGTCTGTATGTATGTTTGTAGGCATGTATGTACGTACGTATGTATGTATAGACACGCAACGCAGTAGCCACTATTTCCCTATACTCCTGTACATATATAAAGTATGTATATATATATGTGCAAATATGTATGTGTATATATATATATATGCGATCGCGATTACGTCGACGCAACAACAAAAAATGTCAGAGGCCAGCCCAATCACGAGTTGCATGACTGCCAAAGATCTTCTCTTTGTGAGCTTCTGCATCATATTCAGATTCACCGCCCTTCTCGTCGGCTGCCTTGTAGCCAGGGAAGTTCTTCAACTTGTGGGGCACATACAAACCACCATCAACTGCTCCTTTCAAAGCACCCCACATCCTATGACCCACACAAGTGCGGCGGATCCCAACATCAAGAATGCACTTGAAAGGCCTTTGCTCAGTATCTTCATCTTCAATGTGGTATTCTTCGCCATCGATCTCTTCCTTCCCCTTGAACTTTTCATCGAGGCCGAACCTGTTTAACACTCTGCGGGCCAAAAGCAAACCAGTAGCATACGCAGCTGCATAGTTTTTGTGTCCAGCAGGAATGCCAAAGTGTAATAGTTCTTGGGAAGACGCCGCAGCGACAACGATGTCTCCACGCAAAGTTGCGTAAACACACTGGCAAATGCACCGTTTGTTGGTGAATCGAACCACTAGTCGGTACTTGCGGTTGTTGAATTTGTTCTTGTCTTGCCGAACCATCTTTCGGCGAGCATGGTAGTCTGTCTTGCCTTCCCTGCGCCGCCGTCTTGCGACCTGGAAGCGTTTGAAGTACGCCGCATTCTTCAGCACCTTCACAAACGCCATGGCTATTCAGCGCTCAAGGTGAATCTGTTCCGCAGCTTGGCCTTCTGAGATGAAAGTGAGAGCAACAAGTTGGACTCAAAAAAATCATGATACCGACAACAGACCCCAAACAGTGTGTGAGGTCTAGAGGTGTGGCAGCAGAAAGTCTATAGATCGCAGTGGAGTCCAGAGAGGTGATGGTGGTGATGAAGGTGGAGATCGTGGTGATGGTGGTGAGTGAGAGTAAGAGTGAGAGGGTGAGGGTGAGGGTGAAGGTGTGCGAGAGTGTGAGTGAGAGAGTGAGGGAGAGAGAGAGTGAGAGTGAGAGTGTGAGAGAGAGAGAGAGTGACATAATGACTAACTGACTAACTGACTGACTCACTCACTGACTGGTTGGCTGACTGACTCACGCACTCACTGACTGACTGACTGAGTGAGTGAGTGAGTGAAAGTGAGAGTGAGAGTGAGTGTGAGTGTGAGTGTGAGAGTGTGAGAGTGTGAGCGTGTGAGAGTGTGAGCGTGTGAGCGTGCGAGCGTGTGAGCGTGTGAGTGAGTGAGTGAGGTGAGGTGAGGTGAGGTGAGGCGAGGCGACGTGACGTGACGTGACGTGAGGTGAGGTGAGGTGAGGCGAGGTGAGGTGCACGAGGTGAGGTGAGGTGAGGTGAGGTGCGCACACGGGGCTGAGGTGAGCATCTGAGAGCACACAGCGCTGCGCCCGCCGCGAAATCTACATTTCGGGTTTACACTGTGCTGCGCCTGCACTTCGCAGTTCACAAAGTCCTGCGCACGCCACGAAATCTACGCGTCGAGGTTCACAAATTCAAAGCGCTGCGCCTGCCACGAAATCTACACTTCGAGGTGCACGAAGCGCTGCGCCTGCCACGAAATCTGGGTTCACCAAGCGCTGCGCTTGCCAGGAAAGCTGTACTTCGAGGTTCACAAAGTTACTACGCCCTCCACGAAATCTACACTTCGAGGTTAAAGCCCTAGGCCTGCCACGAAATCTGCACGTTGAGGTTCACCAAGCGCTACGCCTGCCACGAAAAATGCACGTCGAGGTTCACAAAGCGCTGCGCCTGCCACGAAATCTGCGTACGAACCACATGTCCAAAAGTCACGATTCACTGCACCTGTCGCGAAATCAGAACGCCTTGACGATCACCACCATGTCCAAAGCGCTGCGCCTGCCACGAAATCTGCATTTCAGTAAACCACTCCGATCCCTTGCACCTGTCACGAAAAGTCGACGTTAGACCACAAAAACACAAGGTTTCCCTTGCGCCTGCCACGAAAAGTGACCGCCGTGCGCGAAAACGCGCACAGCGCCACAGTGACAAGCACTCACCGCCGCCGCCCAAATTTTGCGAGCCTGCGAAGTCGAAATGCACATCGAGGATCTCGAGAGACATGAACGCACTGTATTTACCAGCAAATTAGCCGGTCACGGCCGCGCGGCGAAAGACCTAACAGGCGCTTAGCCCCTACCGTAAGAACCCCTAAGTGCGTCCACACTGATTGGGGAATTTAAAGGTTTCAGTGTAAAATTTCGTTGACGACTCATTGGAACCGATTGGGGCTATGGTCTGTCGTTTGCGAAAAAATTGTCAAAATGCATTGGGTTCCACTTTTTTGGCGACAACTCCATGGCGTTGCTCATTGGCTGCTACTGGCTTAGCCTTGTGGACTTCGAAGCTAGGGCGAAAGCGCTTCACTCATATACCTGACAACCAAAGTGCCAAAAAAACAGTTCAAACCTGGCCCTCTCAAGTGAATCTGCGGTCGCCACTCGAACTTGAGAAATGGTTTCCCGGCAAATCGGACACGCAAGGCCTTTGCGACTCAATCCTTTCTTGACTCGATGCCCAGCGAGGATTTGGACAAAAACTTGGCCCCCGTGCTGCGAGATTGAACTTGAAGCGAGCAACGGTGCACATTGCCTGCCAATGCGTGCAACGCAGCGCCGGGCGATCCATCAACGTCGGACGCAACTGCTTTGTTCAGTCAACGCGTGGGCCGTTGGCCGATCTTGTTTGCCTCTCCCCAGCGATCAAAATTTGGGGCGCTTGCAACAGGCAACCAACCTTTCAATCTTTCTGGGCCCCTTCCGCACATGGCAATGTTTTGGGAAAGCGTGGCTGGCGATGCCTGAAGCTGATCGACCGTTGCATCTCACGCGTCGTTCCTCCTTTTCTCCAAATATGACTTCTTCAAACTCTTCATTGTCGTCTTCCTCTGGTGGAATCATGCCGTATTTGGTTTCACTCTCCACTCTGTGTTCTGGTCTTGTCTCTTCCCCTTGGCCCGGCGCTTCCTCAACTTGTTCAGCTTGTAAACTTTCTCTGGAGCTTGCGCGTGACTTGAAGCTGAATTGCTGTTTGAAGCTGATCCTCTCTCTACTCCTTTTCCTGCTCCATAAATCTAAAAACTAAATCAAATTCGTCTTCAAGAAGTCTTCGTGGCGCTCCATGTCGGTGACTCTCGCTGAACCTGCCCTCCAGAAAATAGCCGCCGCCGACTCATACCACACGTCGCCATCTCCACGATCATCTCCTCCATCTGGGCGATCGTAGTCATCACTGCTTGTCTCATGCTCTGCGCCGTTCTCCTCTACCTCTCTGCGCCTCTGCTTTGCCTTGATCTCTTCCCCCGCAACGTGGTATCGAACCATAACTGCACACACATACTGCGCAAATGAAACAAATCACCGTGAGCACGAAGCAGAATAAAGATCGTTCCACAGACTGGTTCCACTGCAAATCACCTTGAAGCTACCTGAAAAATCCCGAACTGACACGTGCAATGTGTCTTTCAAAAAGCCTGTTGCGAGAAAAATGCCAGATTCTCCTCGCACTTGGCTTCATGGGTGTTTCTGCTGTGGGAGAACCACTCCACAATCCCATCAACTTGCCTGAGTACTCGTGTTGTTCCTTGCTCAACCTTATGTGTTCAAATCTGCTGGATTGTTGCGCGCGCTGATTCTTGCAATCTTGAACCACCTGCTTCTCATAGCATCTTGCGTCCACATCATCCTTGTTGAAAGATGCTTTGCTTTGGCGGGCCCAAGTCTATGGAAAAAGCTCTGCGCGCTTGCGCGGTCAATGTGCAGCTTCAGGGCGACAACGTTGCTGTTCGCAAGATCGCGCTTGCACCTCAACAGAAACTGCAAAGCCTGTGTGGCAGCTACTCCCTCAATGAGTCGTTCCGTTGCAGCGAGAATTTCTACCTCCATGGAGCTCAACGCAACGCGTGCCCGCGCTCTGCAGTGGCTATGAGCGCGCGCCCCATTCAGGAATATATACCCAGCCGACGCCGACTTCCTTGTCGCCTTTGACGTTGCCCAATCACAGTTCCAGGTTGAAGTCCACGCTGTTCTGCAGATTTCCTGGCTCAAGGCATTCCCATCTTGTGAAGCAAGAACATCTCTTCTCAACTCAACTATACCTCGTGACCATGTCACCAGTCCCTTGCAAACCGGCTTCCTCAACCCGTTCAACACGTTCCTTGTAGGGCAAGCCACGATGCTAGCACGCGAACCGCAAATTGCGCGTCAACTCGCTCCTGTCCAATGTACAACGCAGTCCCCAAAGCACTCCTGCGCGCTCGAACTTCTGCTTCTGTCAGCTTCTCTTCATTCTGAACTTGTTCAGCGTTGTACGCGTCTGGTGTTGCACGGTTCAAGACTGTCTATCTGTAGTCCAAGCCACCATCTTCAGTATCTATCTGGAGGTCACTGCGATCTCAGCTCCTTCCTCCTTGAACCTTAGCTGACGTTTGAAGTAAAACAATGTTTTGGGTTTGCTCACTCCACGACGTCCTGCCGGTTTCAGGAGTCTTCCAAAGAAACTTCTGGCGGCATCTCTCTGGCGCTACCAACAGTGCATCATAAATGCGCACTGAAAGGAAGTTGTCTTCTGTGTCACGCCGGAACAATATGCGCCACATCGGTACGCTAGCCTGCACACAAACAAGACAAACATTGAGGCTGCTGACCTCTGTCCTGGCAAACATATCAATCTCCAGTAGCGCGAGTCAGGATTACAGTATTCAACATTCTGAACGCACTGCGGCCCTGCTATCCTCGCAAAGTTTTTCTGACTGACCATGAGAAATGCGTCTGAAACATCGTGCCTTGAAACGAGCAACCGCTGTCAACACCTTGATGTAAATGAATGGCGATGTAGGCGCAAACGTTTCTTCTGCGCCTCACGCTACAACCTTGCTCTTCAAGCCCAACGTGGCTCACTGTCTCCGTCACCGCATCTGACCCGCCAATCATAGACAATCCTTGCACCGAGGCACCGAGGCCCAAAACCTCTTCTGCCGCGCACTGTTCACGCGCAACTCTTAAAGGACATCTAGCTTCGCTAAACATTTAAACTTTTTAAACTGTTAAACTCATTGAGCGTAGCTTCTTGGTCACACCCATGAAGCTCTTCGACTGTGACCGTTGGTGGTCCTGCACCTTCGTTGAAGAAACCTCTCTGTCTCTTCTGTTCTTCTGGAAGGGTCACACCTTTCTCTTTGGCTATCTGCCAATCGTCAACTTCTCCGTCAAGTTCAAATTCTCCACGCGTCGCACCCCTTCTTCACTGCCCACGCGGCTATGGTTGCTGTTGTTGACGCTGGCGCCCCGATATTTTGGCTGCTTTTGGGCTAGGTTCTTGCATCGTATCCGGATCAAACTTCACTTGCTTCTTTGGTCAAGTAAACCCGCTTCAGGATCAATTCGTAAACTGGCGCGTTCAAACTTTGCGGTATCTCTTCTGCGCCTCTTCCTGCGCTGGACTGCTGTCTCTGTGCTCAAGGTAGCCCCGCCTGCCTCGATGCTCAGAGTCAGGATTCTCACAAGCAAATTTCTCAGTTTACTGGCGTCGGCCCATCTCTTGCTTGCTCGGCTCGCTTGGTTTGGAGATTGTTCTGGGAGCGGTGTGTCTGGAAGCATGCCTCCTACTGGCGTTGCCATGGGTTAGGCTTAAAACGAATCCTCATGCCTCCCTTTAAACCGCATGGCCCAATGGCCCCACACTGGCGTTCAAGAACAACTTCCCATTCCAGACCCTTTTCGGCGAAGCTTTGCGTCTCGCCACTTCGGTCTCACCCATCACCAACAGGTCTTGATCTGATCCTGGTTTTCCGTCGACGTTCGCAATCAATGCATTGTGCTCTGACAGTCGGTATTGACCTCTCTGCCAAGCTTGTTCTGCTCTTGTCGCTCGACAAACCACTGTCTCCAAACCGCCATTGTTGTCTCTGATCTGCTTGGCCATCCTTGCAAACCTGCCAGAATCGGTTCTCGGCCAAAAGCAAATTCCATCTTCTCGAAACGACCCACATAAGCTAACAACTCCGCAATGACCTCACCAATCATGCCACCATTCTTGCTCTGCAAAGTGTGACATTTCACGTACTTGCTTCAACTGTCAATCATCAGAAGCAAGCAGTTTCCGTGCCCTGGCCCTTGGGAGAAAACTTCGCACTGCGCTGTTGGAAAACTTCGACCTGCTATTGCCTCAGTGCTGCTGGCGTACTTCATGTCCATTTGCTCTTCCCTTAGTGCAGAAAAAGCACCGTTTTTGAATGGCAAATGAATGACTTGGCGGAACTACAGTTGTTCTGAGGGTTGCGCAGGTGCGTCTATGAACTTCAGTGCTGGGTTTTGCCTTAAGCTCATCTGAACTGCTCAAATTGCCCAACTCTTCATAGGCCCACATACTCACAAGAACTGACTCATCTTTGCTGAAGGTTGGATAGCTAGGCAAGGTCTGGGCTATCGCGAGGCTTCAGGGTCTTGTAAACGGTGATAACTACTCCTTGTGCAACTGTCCTCTGTTCAGCAAACGCAAGGTTCACGCGCTTGCCACCTTTGAGCTAGTATATGTCACGGGCGGCGAGCTGGGCCCTGTTCCTCCTCGCTGTACTTTGACATCTCTGGATCGCGCACCAATCCTTCGACTTCTCCAGCATCTTGCTGTACCGAGGTTCAGCAAGACTAAGCCAGGGGCTGAAAACAAACTTCCTTTCTGCGAGGGCGTCAGGATCACGTGCATCAATGACGCGCCCTGGATGGTGTTCAAGGCCGCTTTTGTTGCGGCTTCATCTCTCCAGGATCGCCCTGACCTTTTACCTTTGCCTGTCTCACCGCCCCCCATGGCATCTTTTGTCGCGCCCTGACACTTCTGCCATCAACCAGGCCAAGTGGTCCCGCAACGTCAACCACAATGTCCAACTGTTGCGCACGCTTGAACATCAGCTATGGACAATCCTGCACACGCGTGAAAAAAGTCTTGACCGTCTCGTGAATCCACATTATATAACCAAATGATCGTGATGGCATGCTTTTGGACCTCCGTCTCAAATTTGGCCGCTTACATCCATACACCATGGGGCCCCCCTAGTTAGACTACTTGTAAGTATCCTATGTATGGTTTTAACTTGGTGTAACTATGGTTTTAACTTGTTGTAACTTGGTGTAACTAAATTAAGTCTCACCGGTAGTTCTATGTAAGTTACATCTTAGATGGTTAGTTATAACTTAGTTGTAAGTAAGGACCACGGTAAGTTAAAAAAAAGTTACGGAAGTTAGTTTTTTATGTCTGAAAATCATCTTTTTCACATGTCTGAAAAAATGATGCCCAGGACCTGTTTTTCTTATATTTTTCATGAAAACATTGATTTTTTGATGCTGTAAGCTCATGTAGTCGTTGACGTGGGTTTGCATAGAGGTTTCCGTGTTCCTTGCTTTTTGTGTTGTTGAGCAGGGAAGTTGTGTATACGGCAAGCCGCAGGAACCTGTTTTCTCTATTTTTGTATTGAAAGATCTGTTCATGCACTTGTTGACGTGAGTTTGCGTAGCTGTTTCCACGACGTTGTTTGTTTTTCCTGTTTGTTGAGCAGGGATGTTGCGTATGCGGCAAGCCGCAGGAACCTTGCGGTCCCCGCACGCGGCCCAGCCGCACGTTCCAGCAACATCGCGGCTCTAGCATCAGCCCTTTGATTCCCAGAGGCTTTGGTACCGTCTTTACATCTGCCCAGGCCAAAAAATATACAAGTGGTATCCGGGTGGTATCCGCTGGTATCCGGGTGGTATCCGGTGGTATCCGTGTGGTATCCGGTGGTATCCGGCTAATATCCGGTGGTATCCGGGTGGTATCCGGGCGGTATCCGGTGGTATCCGGGTGGTATCCGGCGGTATCCGGGTGGTATCCGGGTGGTATCCGGTGGTATCCGGGTGGTATCCGGTGGTATCCGGGCGGTATCCGGCGGTATCCGGGTGGTATCCGGTGGTATCCGGG